GCATGTGGTTGCACGTGTAGCTCTTTGTCGTACATGTGGCTGCTTTTGTGTCTCTTTGATGCACATGCTGCTGAGTCGTGGTACACGCTGCTGCGCTGTTTTTGACTCCTGCGTACATGCGGCTACACCGTCTTCTGTCCCCGTTGGTACACACTTGCTCCTCTTGTCCCCGTTGTACGCCTTCACTATAATATATTCTGTTGTCTCGTCTTGTCTCAGTGTCAGTCGTCAGTCGTTTGTTGTCAGTGTTGGTTCTTCTTTATGAGTTCCCCAGTCGCCTACTGAAATGAAGTAGAAGAAAAAGCTCTCTAACAATTTGTAGTGGTCCTTTGTTGTGTGGCGTGGCGAGGAGCGTAGAGGCAGTTCGTTCACGGTTCTCAAACCCGTGACGACACATGCATGGACATTATCCATACAGTTCTCCAATATAAGCCCTGCGCTTATATTGGAGACTGCGCTGGTATATCTTCGAAGCCCTGTTGGAGTGCGCTTATAATAGAGACTGGGCTTCTACAAGAGACTGCGCTTGTACTCCAGTAATAGAGATAATAAGGTATATACACATGAGCACCGGAACTAAAAAATCAGCCCAGAGACGGTAGATAGATTACTACTGTATCGTCTCTTGTGATGACCTTCTAGTATTCATCGCTGCTGGTGTCTCCAGACACATCTGGAAGTATGTCACCTCTCTCTCTCACTCTAACCCTAACCCTTTCTCTGTCTCTCTCTCCCTATATTTTTTATCATAAAACACAAGCATCTTCACCATCCATAGCCCTTCAATATGGAATCCACATACTGCCCTCTCCATATTTTTAGTTCGGAATATATAGCTGACAAAGTACCATTTTTTTCTTTTCTTTTGCTTCACATTATCATATTCATCAATTAGTAGGAGCCGTGGTTGGCTCTGGCCATCCCGGCAAGAAGGCAGATATACCTGTTCGATTGGTGAATTAAAATTAAAATACCATACCATACCATACCTTGCAAAACGTCGACATTTTTTCTTTTTTTTACAAAAAACCTCACACCATTTGATGCCCCACAAAACAGCAAGGTAGCGATGAGACATATGGAATGGCAGGAGTGGGGAGAGGCAGGGGCGGCTTGACCGACCATAGGGTCTCAATCCAAGCGCTCCACAAAAACAAAAGATTACAGAAAATACACGGGGGGGGGGGGGAGGGCGGGGGGTAGATAACGGGGGATTACGGGGAAAAGTATGCACAATAAAAAGTTATCCGAGAGCCAACAAAGTGAATGGAGGAGGGTACAGAGTTAAAGCCTTTTTTTCTTTGATTCATAGCCTGTCCGTTGCCCACTCCCAGCGGGTAAGGCACAGGTGGGCGTTGACCTTTTCTTTGAACGTCTGCAGTCCTTTCCTTGTTGGCTGGTTCAGCAGAACGCACTGCGGGAGCTTGTTCCAGACCTCCACAACAGTGTCAGGGAAGTACCGAAGGATATCATTCCATGCTCCAAGCTACGCTGCGCTTCCTTGATTTTTTCTCTCCATAGGCCCGATTTTGATGATCGCCTTTACCTCTTCCTCATGCAGTACGACTGCCAGAATGGTGGATGTAGGTGTTTTTGTCCGATGTTCCAACGATACCTTCGAATGAGGCAAACAGGTACACGATCACGAATTTAAAAAAACACTGCTCATCACCGTGTGACGCGTACTGAGTCATACAGTCAAGCCATACGCGCTCATCCCTGTTGCACGAACCGGTGGGCCATTGGAGACATAAGCTTCACGCTTTGCGGCTCCGAGAACTCCGCACAATCCACGTACCGTATACTTATTTGTTTCAATTTCGCAGCCAATTTCTCGCGTGAGATCGGAGGCGACCCCAGGGCCAGTTGGTTATTTCGATCCTAAGCTTCTCGGTGATTTTTTTCGTGAACTTGATTCGTCTGCCACCTACATCGTGAGCGACTGCGAGAGAGATCAGTGGACTGAATCATGGACGAAGCGATGTTTGTTCTGCTGCACGAGTTTCTGGGGGACGTGTTTGCTGAATTCTGCCCAGGAAACAGCGACTGCAGCCATTCCAATCCGCCACGAGGCAATCCAGAATGACCCCTTAGGAGTGTCTTGTTCCCCGTGACAAGTTTCCACCACATTGGGGTTTCCATATCAGCACCTGGCCTTCTCGATGTTGCGCATGAAGCATCAGGCATCCTCTGACGGCGAAATTTGAACACGATGCGCTTGAGTCACCTAAGAGTTTGAGGTGCTGCCTCTTTTGAAGTTCGAGCCATTTTTTCTTCAACATCACTAATCGACAACCGAAGGACAGTGTCAGGTAGCTGGGAAGTTTTTTCCATCCTGAGATTATTCTATTTGTTTGGTAGACGTCGGAAGCAAAGGGTAGGGAAGTATACCCTAAAATCAAATTTTCACCAGTCATGTAGTCTTCGAGGTGCTGAGTCGAATGGTCTTGGTCCGAGGAAGCTGAGACGCTCCCTCCCTCCTTTGTCCCCAATCGAACTCGCGCATTTCCACCGAAACTCCATGACTAGGCCCTACTAGATGGGGATTCGTATGCAAAAAGTCACTAAAAGCGCCGTTTCATTCTTATAAAAGGACGGATGACCGCGATTGGTCCATATGTTGTAGTCTTTTGGACGCTAAGTCGATTGGTTTTAGTCCCAAAAGGCTGCGATGCAGCATTCGGCCATTATTCCCAATCCAACACGGGTGAGCAAGCGGCCACGTGCTCGTGCGTACACTAGTCGCCTGGTCACCGTGCCTGCAGGCTAAAACTGTCACAGTAAGGTTCAACTCAAAGGTTCAAAAGTTCAACCCGAGTGACAGGAACGCTGTCACCTAGTTTCGGTGGAAGTGCACGAGTTCGATTGGGAAAAAAGGAGGAAGGGAGTGTCTTAGCTTCCTTGGAATAGAACCATTCGACTCAGCACCCAGAAGACTACAACTGCTGAAAATTTGATTTAGGGTATACGTTCCCCTTTAGTAAGTCGGATCAAGTAAAGCAAACACACAAGTAAAAGTAATACGACTAGCTAACCAAACAATATTGAAAGTCTGTACTGAAGTGCCCCATCATTCAGGATTGGATATGCTTCTTGCGCACTTACAAAAGGAGACTAACCAAACTTTCCCGCAACAAATCCCTTCCTCAAGCACGCCCGCACTCACACATGCATGCATGCACACGTACAGAAACACACACACACACACACACACACACACACACACACACACACACACACACACACACACACACACACACACACACACACACATGCGCATGCACACACACACACACATACAGGAATAAGCAAAAGCGTTGAAAACTGGCATGTGTCTCATCATTTCATAATAAACACAAGGATACGCTTCTTATAAACTTGACACAAGAAGACCAACACACACCCATATCATATCCCTTCCTCTGACAGCTACTAATTGTGACCAAGCAGAATAAAACAGATATCAAAGAACCGCATCACTTCTAGTTACTTACGAGTCTTTCATATTTTGACCCCTGCAAAATTCACCGCAGGCCACAATTTAGCCGATGATCCCAGTCATGGAACACAAAAAGAAGAAGATGAAAGTCATTGGTAAGCAACAAACCTTACACCACTACAATATGTATATACATGTAGGTATGCCTATGACATCGTCGTGGACAAAGAAATCAAACCTGTGAGCCGAAATCAGCGCCAAAGTTCTTACGGCCCCTATGGTGCTCAGAGAGGTTCTTGGACAGTGCATGATGTACAGTAAATCCTGTAACTAAAGACCACCGTGACTAGCGACCAATCTGGTACTACAGACCACCGTGACTAGCGACCAGCCTGGTACTACAGACCACCCTGACTAGCGACCAGTCTGGTACTACAGACCACCGTGACTAGTGACCAGCCTGGTACTACAGACCACCGTGACTAGCGACCAGTCTGGTACTACAGACCACCGTGACTAGCGACCAGTCTGGTACTACAGACCACCGTGACTAGCGACCAGTCTGGTACTACAGACCACCGTGACTAGCGACCAGTCTGGTACTACAGACCACCGTGACTAGCGACCAGTCTGGTACTACAGACCACCGTGACTAGCGACCAGTCTGGTACTACAGACCACTGTGACTAGCGACCAGTCTGGTACTACAGACCACCGTGACTAGCGACCAGCCTGGTACTACAGACCACCGTGACTAGCGACCAATCTGGTACTACAGAACACTTCGCCAGGCACGGACAGTCTTACATTCATATTATGGTTGTGCCGTGCAAACCTCTAACCAAGGACAACCTGCCACAAAAGACCGCTTTCTCTGGCCCCAAGGGGTGGTCGTTAGTCACAGGTTTTACTGTTATTGAAATGGATATACAGTCAAACCTCGTTAGTACGAACACTGATAAGGCGAACTTTCCATTAGTACAAACTAAGGCTAATCCTATGGTTGACCAGGCATCAATTCAAGTCAAAATTATTCGTTTACGACAAACTTCTGTACAGCGAACTTTCGCGAAGACGAGCTATTTTCAAGTGTGATTTGAACAAAGTCAGTGTTGTCATATACATGTAGTACGAACTTTCTGTCCACAAGCGTGCGCGTGCGCTGGCTGCCTTTTTTCTTCTTTTTTTTCAATAGTCGAGGCCATATTGTACGTTCAGTGCAAATTGTTTTCAAGCGTAAATAAACTAGGGATGAGTCGAGCAGCATTTTCTCCGGGTATCGGTTTCGGGTAGTTCTCCACGGGTAGCACGGGTCCTCGATCGGGTAATGTCTCCATGGTAACACAACAATGCACCCCTTCCCTTACACACTGGGTAGACATGCGGAGTATTACATGAATTTGTACATGTGCACTGTACATAATGTCATCTGCGACTTCGGGTTTTCGGGTACTATTCTGTACCCGTCTACCCGAGGTCCTCCCGGGTAGCACGGGCACCCGACTACCTGTGCAGTGTGCACACCACTAAAATAAACGGAACAGTTTTCAAAGTTACTTAC